GAAGCCACCAATTTATTTGAAAACTGTCTCCCGTCTCACTGCCTGCCATGAACCTCAGGCTCACCTTAACCTCCTTCATCTACCCAAGGAGAACAGGTTTTATTTCAGGAGACTCACAGCAGCAGGAGAGCTGGGAGCAGATGGTGTAGATGACACATCATGCCCTTTCCATTCAGAGGGGCATGAAATGCCCAATGTGCACGACCAGGTGATGACCCAGGTCTCCCCACCCAGGTGTGCATTTGACACCCAGACAGGAACATTGCAACTTCAGCAGCATGGCTGAGCTGGAGACCTTGACTTTGGCCGTGAATTTTTTCTGACCTTCCACTGAGCCTAGACAATTTGGAATCTAGATATGACTGTTGCTGTCCAATCTTTGCATTGGACAGATAAGGAAAATAAGGCTTCGAGAATCACTGTCACACAGCTAGTCTACACAGGACGGGGAACAGAACCCACAGGTCTGCACAGGGATCCTCTGGGACTCCCTGGCCTGTGTCACCTCCTTTGCCATCATTCCTCTTGTCCCTCAGACTGAGGCACTGAATGGTCAGAGCAGCTCTGCTGTCTTTCACAGAAACTCCCCAGTTGATGCTCTTCACTTCCTCTCCTGCGCATGTTCTCAGAATGTCTAGAAAAGTCTGACAGCTGGTGTTCCATTTAGGGACAACACTTCGGTATGTGTCTTGAAAGGGCTCACACACAGATTTTGCTGCATCTCTACTCAATTTCCAAATATAATATGATTTCATGGGTGATGGAATGGAAAACGAGAAAAGACGCTGAAGCTGCATTCTCTAAGGAGAATTTGTAATGCCTACGCCTGAGGAAATGGCCCCGACAATGAAGAGGTCAGGGCAGGACTTTATCATGTAGACCTGGGTTCAAATCCTGACTTTCTATTTGACTTTGGACAAATTACTCCACTTTGCTGAGCCTGTTTCCTCATCTGAACCACAGCAGCCACAGAACTTACCGCTCAGACTGTGCTGACAGGTCAATGGAAGGTATTAACAAATGACCAGCCCTTGGTCGGCATGCTGACCAGTTTTCTTCCACCCCTTTCTTCCTGGACTGCATCAATAGGGATGAAGCAGTAAACAATGGAAGCAATTACTACCAAACTGAGCATATAGTTTAATTTGTCATAAGAATCCTTAATAAGGATCAGGGACAGGCAAATAGATAACTCAACTGTAAGCCCACTCAGTTGCACATATGACTTGAACCAAATAATAAGATACAAATCTGTCTCTCAGTGTCACAGAGCTTATGTTCTCCAAAAACAAAATGTCTGGTGACCACAAGTGGTTGAACTAAAGCAAAACACCTCAAAACTCCTCTTATGTAGCATGCACACTGAATGGGCATCGTGGGTAGTCACATATTCTTGTATTTAACCCATTTTGGTGTATATGGACCCATTTATTTTTCAAAATAATTATAACACAAATGTTGCCAACTAACACCTAACTACATCAAGTAGGTTATCTTAACAAAAGAATTCAAAAAAGATCTGAGGGATTAGGATTGCCTGGAATTCCTACTTTAGCCAAATATCCTATTGGCTAAAATCAAGCCAAAATGAGAACTAAGAGGACCAAAAATACCCCAAACCTCTCCCACCAATGATTCCACACCCCAGGTTTCCTGGCCTATTTATCTGTTTTTCATTCTTCCATTCATGTGGGAGGAAAAATCAACATTTCCTGACTTCATTGACAGAATCTGAACACCTTTGTAGAAGTATAATCACTGACATAAAATGATACTGATGGCATTTGGAAATCCCCTATGAATCTCTGACTGACTCCGTGGCACACAGGTTGCCCAAGGACACATTTTCAAACCTTTTCCACACTCTAGAATCTCAATCATGACTCAAGCTTTGCTGACCTCACAGCCGTGGAATGGGGGCTTTATTTAAATGCCAACTTGGCCACAAAACATCTGTTTTATGGACCATCTCTTCCTTCCTTGCTCACAGACAAATGTACCCTTTCACCTTTTTAAGGAAAAGACCTCCTACATGTTCAGGTTTTTGTTCACCATTGATTCCTTCCTCTGACATCAAATAGGGCAGGATTTCCAATGCCCGTGGATCCCCGGCTCTGTAGGTGAGCATGTACTTGCCAAAGCAAAGCTCCAATAAGAGCAGGAGGAGAGGGCTTCCTGGGTGGGGAGCAGCAAGAGACAGGAGGCCTGACTGGGGCTCTGGAGTCTGGGGGCGGGGATGTCCTGCCTGCTTCCTTCCCTCTCATTGGTCAATGTGGGTGATGAAGATTAGATCTAAGGAGAAACGCAGGCCATCACTTGAAAGAAGAAACCACCTGGTGCCTTCAGATTTCGATGCTGGATTTACTTAGAGTTGGCATGTTGGAAGCTGATAGGTGGGTGAGGGATCAGAAATGTTGGCAAGGGTATGGCTGCAATGGCCGAACAGGGCATGCTGCCTGGGCTAGGGCAAGAAAGGACAGCAAGGAGTTGATAGCTTGGGGAAGAGGAGGGCCTAAGGGCTGGGAGGAGGGTGAGGAGATTTAGAAGGCATGAGCCATGCCACTGTGCCATCAGATTGCTGTAGGGAGCAGGGAGAGGTTAAAAATGCCAATTTGTCCCTGTTGTGGAAAGCAGTAGTGCAAGAAAGAGGGGAAGGAGGAGGTCAAGTTCAACCACAGGGTCTTAAATGGACTTGTTTAGTCCTGGGGCACCAGGGGTGAACTCAGTCCCTGTGCATCATCTCTTCCTAGACAACTTTGCCCACAGTACAATCATATCTGAGACTGAAAAAATCTAAACCTAAACACAAACCAATGAGCTTGCTTTTGGGGCCAAATAGTGCCGACTATGTATATATGTATATATGTACATACATACATATGTGTGTGTGTGTGTGTGTGTATAAAAAGAAAAACCAACTCTCTGAAATGAAAATATACAAATGGGATTATGTAATCAAGGTCACAGAGATCACTCCAAAAGCACTGTACTAATTACAAAATAATGTTTCTTGTATTAAACAAGATCATGAATTTTAGAGCATTTAGTACAGTGCCTGGCCCTTATCATTTACCAACCCCCTAAATGATAGCTGTTGCCAATGTTATATGTATGAATCATTAAAGCAGACCCAGTAAGACTTCTATTTGGAAATCTTTTTGTCAGTCATTTATTTCACTAATGTATGAGCTTTTGAGTAATAAAAAGACATGGCTTAAAGTTCAGATTACTTCCCAGTGCAGTCTGACCTTTCTCAAATTACTAAGACTTGTGACATTTCCCTGAACAAAACAGTGATCCACAAACAGAGGCTCCTGTAGAAAATGAGATGCCCAGAAATACTCTTTCCTCCTTTGTCAAGAGTGTTGCTGACATGGGAGGCTGGAGCCCCAAATGCTTCCACTCCTTGAGCACATAGTCTGTCAGCTAGGAAAGAGACGAAACAGGAGTCCAGGCCTGCTTTTCCCCAGTGATAGTCCAATCCCTGCCCTCGAACCTCTATTCACCCTCCCAGTCCCCTTGCCTGTCTGACTGGAAATGGGTTGGCTGTGAACATATTGCCCTGTGTGGTCTGTGTGGCTCCAACTCCAAATACGGTCATAGACGCTATGGCCCAGGTCACAAAGAAAGAGACCAGGGCAGCTTCTGGACCACAGCTGGGTTCTGTTGGCTGTCCACAGCACTTCTGAACATGTTCAATTTGAATGTCTTTCCAAGGAGGCATTGCTCTCAAGTTCACCCCAGTCCCTACCATGCCCCATTTCCCTGGTTTGAGTTAATTTGTCACCTTGGAGTACAAGTCCCTACCATGCCCCATTTCCCTGGTTTGAGTTAATTTAATTTGTCACCTTGGAGTACAAACCATCTCCTGTTTCCTCTTGTCATGGCCTTTAATGCTGACCTAGCAGTGCAGTCCAGGCAGGGCTGGGGGCAGAGAGGGCAGGTCTGAATGAATCGCTGTGGCCACTTGGACCAGCTCAGCCCCAAGCAGCCTCCCTGCCATGGTCCGGCCAGCTCTGATGTGTCAGCTCCAAGACAAGGGAACCAAATGCCATTCTTGTGTCTATGTGACCTTCTTATATATATTGTCTTGTATATATTGACAATTATATAGCTTACCATCTGTAGATATTAACTTCTGACTATGTTCAGGAAAAAAAGAATAGGAAAAAACAGTTTGATCTCTGTAAGAAACCTCAGCGTCGAATAAGTTAAGTCTGCTTTGCTGCTTTAATGGAATTTTAAAAATTCTACATTTCGGAGCTGTTAAAGCAGTTCTGATTTTCAGCGTTGGCAAGAGGGATCAGATCATTAAGCTTCCCTGGAACTCTCTTCTGATTGGGGGATAAGGTAGGTTGTTTTTGTTTTCTTTCATGAGCCCAAGAAAAATGGCCTGTCAGGGGTCTCTTTCTTGGCCCCAGGGGAACCTATTCTTCTGTAACTACTTCACTAAGTTCACAGCAGTCCTTTCATGAATAGGGCTCTTTTTGGCCAGTGCATTCGGGGAGCACAGCATAGAGGCATTCCATTTCTAAAGATCCTGAGAAGGAGGCATAATTATCTTGATGTTCATAGATGAGGAAACACACTCAGAGAAGGCACACTCCTTGCCCAAGTCACACAATTAGCCACGGAAATTGATCTAGATTTACTGACAGCCTAAACAGGCCCTTTCCACCACCCTGTGCAGCCCCCACTAAGTCAAGGCAAACACCACAAAGCCACATATCTGGTCACAGACCACAGAGAGTCACTGGAGGAAGGACAGGGCCAACGGAGGTTTTGCAAAAATGCAGAGTTTGGGGAAAATATAGAAAAAAACAAAAAACAAAAACCAATTGCATCTTTACCAAAAGGATCTTTTAACCTTAGTCCTGGATTCCTGGCTTTGCAACAAGGCCATTCCAGCCCAGGAGACAGTCAACACGTTTTTCATACAGAGGATGTGAAGGCGTTGGCCCATCCCAGACCAGGGAGAAAGCAGAAACAGGGGTACCTACCGCCTTCAAACTCTGTCTGGCAGTTCCCCGAGGTATCATTCAGGCTCTCCTCCTCGTTGATGATGATGTTCTCAATGTCCTTCATTGTCAAGTGGTCCCGGAAGGCATGATAGAGGATGTGCTTCAACTCTTCCAGAGTTATCCTTTGCATGTCAAACTGTGAAGATAAAGAGGAGTAAGAGGGGCTTGGGCACATGGGGGTGAGAACTCTGCTTGGGGCATGACCCTTAAGCCCTTTTATAGAAACTTGTCCCAGCTTTTCGGAACATCAGATGAGCAGTTCTCCATCACGTTCAGCTCCAAGCATGCTTGTGAACTTATTGGGAAGACCGTGTGTGCACAACATATCCCCCTCCACTGAGACTCTTGGAGAAAAAAATGCCACCTGCTAGTTCGGTTTCCTACTCATCCAGCCATCTGCTGTCACCCCTTGTATACTTGGGGGTTTGTGTCCTACTTCAGACAATGCATATGTCTCTAAAAATTTTATGATCTCCCCAGAAGCCAGCAATTCCCAGCTTGCTATAAGCACGTATCTCGTTCTAACAAGATAAAATGCAAGTTCAAAGCCGTGTTTCTGAGGAAGAGCAGCTGAAGGGAGGTGCAGCATTCCTGGTTATGCTCTGCCCTTCCTGGTGACAGCATTATGCTTTCCCACTGCTTCTCCATCAGGCTCAGTTCTGTCACTTTCTTAGCCAGTGAGATGTGAGTAGAAGTCACACATGCCACCGTCCATTGAGAGCTTTAAGAGCCCTTGTGTGATTATATCATTTATTCTTTTTCTTCTGCCATGAGAACAGCATGCCCTAGGTAGGGCCTGTACCTCTGTCTGAGTCCTAGAATGAGGATACAGTGGAAAATCCCTGCAAATATCCCCTAAAAGAAAAAATAATGTAAGAAATGCCCTTTTTTGCCTAGCTGATGTGGCTCAGTGGTTGAGCGTTGACCTATGAACCAGGTGGTCATGGTTCAATTCCCAGTCAGGACACATGCCCGGGTTGTGGCTTGATCCCCAGAGGGATCAGCAGATTGATGCTTCTTTCTCATCATTGATGTTTCTTTCTCTCCCTTCCTCTCTGAAATCAATAAAAATATTTTTAAAATTAAAAAAAAAAAGAAATGCCCTTTTTGTTATTAGCCATAGAGACTTTGGGCTTCTTTACTACCATAGCATAACGTGCTTTAAGTAAACAATACAGAAGTTATTATGTAGAAATGACAGACTACCATTACAAAAATTCTAAAGTATGATGTATGGCTTCCAGGGCCAGGCAGTGGGAAATGAGAAAACTGTCATTGGAGGCTTGAAAGAAAATCACCTTTCTTATGCAGTAGCAAAACACTTGGTAACATCATTGCCTGTGGTAACTTGTAGGACAGATCCCTATTGAATGGTTTTGTGGCTTTGGGGAAAAAGTGTGGGAAACAGCACTCTGGCTGCAAATGGTTGCATCTGACAGGGTGCTACAAGAAAGAGATGAGCTCAGAAAAGAATTGATTGGTTTGCAGGCCAGGACTAGACACAACTCAGAAATTCCTGGACTTGCAGGAAAGATAATAGTTATTTCTCACCTCCAACTAGGAAGAGATAAAATGGAGAAATGCTTTAAATAACAATACAGGCCTATTAAAACAAATCCAAGTGTCGCTTGTCAAAACCTCTGAATGTGTGAGGTGACTCTCCCAGGAAGCTGGCTGTTAAGTTTAGAGAGAAGTGTGTCTCAAAGATAATTGTGGACATGGCTATAAGTATAAACCAATTGGAATCAAAGAGATAAAAAGATGACTACGTTTTGGAGAGAGTTGTACTGGCCAAGAGCCAATGGCCTAGAATTAAAAGACTCTATAACCCTGTTATCTGTGGGCTCCCAACCTTCTATGGGCATAAGCACTATGAGGAGAAGCTATATAGACCCCAGGGAGGACACAACTTCCAATGCCCTCATTAGATGAGTATAGGGAGTGGAAAAGGCTGGATCCCTCACATGGCGAAGCTGGGCATTATGCTTAAAATCATGAGTAATTTCCAGGATGCAGAAGGAGGGTTTAATTAAAGAATATTCCTCACCCCAAGGTCTGTCCAACAGGATTTCAGAATTGCTGAGTCTTAGACTGCTACATAGCTCCCATATTTATTTTATTTTATTTTTTAGTTCACATGTCTCTAAGAGAAGCCACACCCACATTTGCTGTAACTCCTGGGATTCTAGATCTCAAGTCTGATGTTATAATTGGATGGGACTTTTAGGGTGTCTCCCTTGGGGAGGGGATGAGTATATTTTGTGGCTGAAGGGAAGGAAATAAATACTTATAAGAAAGAGTATGGTCTGAAACAGGTTATATTATTTCCAATTATTACGTAGAAATGACAGAATTATATCGCTTTGCCCACTGACATTAGGAAATGAGAAAACTGTTATTGGAGAGTGAAAGTGATGACAATCTCAGAAGCCATGTGTATTCTGCCATTTTTTTTTCCTGCCACAAAAACATATACACCAAATACGGGCTGTTCCTTCCTCCTGGAATGAATACAACATAGAGCTAACCCATGAAGGGCGTGTAATTTTGAGTGAGAAATAAACCCTTGTTTTTATTTTATTTACTTATTTAAAATAATATTTTTATTGATGTCAGAGAGGAAGAGAGGGATCGAAACATCAGTGATGAGAGAGAATCATTGATTGGCTGCCTCCTGCACGCCCCCCACTGGAGATTAAACCTGCAACTCAGGCATGTGCCCTGACCAGGAATTGAACCATGACCTCCTGGTTCACAGGTTGACACTCAACCACTGAGCCACACTGGCTAGGCGATAAACCCTTCCTTGTTTTAGCCTCTAAGACTTTGGGATTTCTGCAGTATAGCTTAGACCAGTGGTTGGCAAACTTCGGCTCACGAGCCACATGCGGCTCTTTAGCCCCTTGAGTGTGGCTCTTCCACAAAATATCATGAGTGGGCGAGCACGTACAGTGCGATTGAAACTTCGTGGCCCATGCGCAGAAGTCGGTATTTTGTGGAAGAGCCACACTCAAGGGGCCAAAGAGCCGCATGTGGCTTGCGAGCCGCAGTTTGCTGACCACTGACTTAGACAATAATAAATACAGAAATCAATGTTTTAAGTTAGTCTAAATCCTGATAAAAGTAAGTTTTAGACATTTTCTTTCCCTGCTTTATTTGTAAAACAATTCCTCTCTTGCTTTAAGTATGCCTGTTGTTCTAACACATTAACTTAGGTTGCTGAAACTTGCTGGACATCTACATGACTAAAGTTCAAAGCTATTTCTATGACTAAGAGCAACTGAAGGGGAGTGTACAAAGCGGATTTGTTTCTGCATCCCAGGTTATTGACTATAAAAGTAAATTTTGAGATACACTGAGAATTGAGCCTTAGAGTTGACAGGGGAACAAACATGTGGTTGTTAGCCTGGGTGCAGGGAGAAGGCTGGCAGAGTGCATGGTGAGGGTGAGGGACCTCATAGAGGAGAAATTGGTACCCTCCTGCCACAGTCAGAGATGACGAATGACAAAATCAAAGAGACTCAGAACATGGGTAACCATTTCCTAGAAGACCAACCGAAGGGCTGGGGTGCCGGGGCGAACTAAGCAGCAGAGAGTTTGCTGAAATGCAGAAGGAAAGTGAAAAGAATTGGTCAGGGGCTGTGAGAAGAGGAGAGGTGGTGGGAGGAGGGAGTGGGGGAAGGGCATGTCAGGAGAGGGAACACCATACCAAGGGGTAGGGTGTGAAAACTCCAGGTCACTGAATGGCCACCTGCTGACTTCTTCTGAGGACTGAGAGCTGTAGGAGAAGGTGTTAGGGGTGTGCTGAGAGCTGTGCATGGGGTGCTAATCCACAAAGACCTATATGCCATGGTGAGGAGCTTGGTTGTTTTTTGTTTGTTTTTATTTTTACTGTGGTAAATATGCATAACATAAAATTTACCATTTATCCATATTTAAGTGTATAGTTCTGTGGCGTTGAGTACATCCACAGGGCTGTGCAACCATTACCACCATCCATCTCCAGAACTTTTAGCATTTCCCTCAAGTGATACTTCGTGCCCATCAAATACTTCTTCCCCATTCCTCCCTCTCCCAAAGCCAGGCAACCACCATTCTACATTCTATAGCAGTGGTTCTCAACCTTCTGGCCCTTTAAATACAGTTCCTCATGTTGTGACCCAACCATAAAATTATTTTCGTTGCTACTTCATAACTGTAATGTTACTACTGTTATGAATCGTAATGTAAACATCTGATATGCAGGATGGTCTGAGGCGACCCCTGTGAAAGGGTCGTTTGACTGCCAAAGGGGTCGCGACCCACAGGTTGAGAACCGCTGTTCTATAGAAAGTCAAACACAAATCTGACTGCTCTAGGTACCAGAAGTAGAATCATACAGTATTTGGCCTTTTGTGACTGGCTAACTCACTTAGCATAATGTCTTCAAGTTCATCCATGGTGCAGCATGTGTCACATGTTGCAGAATTTTATTCCTTTTTAAGGCCGAGCACTATTCCGTTGTATGTCTATGCTACATTATTAATCTATTTACCCATCCATAGACACTTGGGTTGCTTCCACCTTGAGGCTATTGTGAATAGTGCTGCTATGAACGCAGGTGGAAAAATGCCTGCTCATGCCCCTGCTTTTAGTTTTTTGGGGTTTTCTTGGTATATACCCAGAAGTGGAATTGCTGAGTCATATGGTAATCCTATGTTTAGTTTTTGAGGAATAAAGCTTGGTTTTATCTTTTGAATAAAATGAGGTACCACTAATGGATTTTCATCAGGGAAATGACCTCATCAGGTCTGAGCTTGAGAAAAGTTACCCTTTACAGGTATCAGGGGCAGGACAACCAGGCTATAAAAATAACAGGTTTAGAAACCACAATGGGCTATGGGGACGGAGAGAATTCCCTGTAGGAGAGAAGTTGGCAAGACTTGATGAGTCATCGTGGGTGGAAGGTGAAGGAGAACGAGCCAATTAGGAAGACATCTGGGCTTTAGGTTGAGCTGAATGGTGACAGTGGGAAAACAGGCTTAGAGAGAAAGGTGTCAAGTTAAATTTTGGAGGTGTGCTTTGGCGGTCCCAGAGGGACAGCCCGATAGCACAGCCTAGGAGGCAGTAGGATGTACAGATATGGGCTAATGATAC